TAATCGTGCAAATGCGCTCCTCCGGGCCACCAAAAGGAGGCACTTTCAAAATGAATTTTATCGTGCAAGATCAAATTCAGCAAAAACTTGGTCTCTACTCAACTAACTCCATGGAAAGACGCCTTCAAATTCAGTAGATGAGGAGCTTGGAAAAGCATTTGACCCAATTACATGCTCAGTTGTTGACAAATTTAACGAAACTTTTGCACAGTTTTCGGGCGTTCCGCTGAATGTTGTTGCCTATTCAATTCACTTGAGGGATTGGAATATGGCGTCAGCTTTCCTTCCTGAGTTATCAAAATATGATCTAAAAAGTCTGCTGCTTAGTTTTAAACCTAGAAAATCTCCTGGAGTTGATAATGTCAGAGCAAATGACCTTATCCGCAATTTTGATGCAATTAAACATGTCCTTCTGTATATGTTAAATGGTTTCATTTCACAAAGACAAATCCCTAATAACCTGAAAAATGCAAAAGTTAAGCCTCTTCATAAAGGCGGAGATCGTCGTAAGGTCGAAAATTATCGTCCCATCTGGATTTTGTCTTGTATAAGTCAAATTTTAGAGAAGCATTTATTCCAAGTAATGAGTCAGTTTCTTGAAAAGTTCGAAATCATATCCAATAATCAATATGGTTTCGTCAGCGGACGGGGTACACAGCCATTACTTGAAGATTTTGCAGATGAATTACATTACGCATTCGAAAAAAATGAGGTCGTATGTGCCCTTTTGTGGATGTTTCAAAGGCATTCGACAGTGTTAACCACAGCATTCTATTCCAAAAGCTTTATCATATTGGCTTCCGAGGTCCATTTCTGGAGCTACTAAAAGATTATTTAACTGGACGATCTAAACAAGTTCACATAGGTCCCAAAAGAAGTACAAAGCTCGCCTTGAAATCCGGAGTTCCACAAGGATCTATCTTGTCTCCGTTACTTTTTAATGTCTTTGTCAATGACATGTCAGATTCAATAGTTAGCTGCAAACTATATCAGTATGCTGACGATACTGTACTCTTGTCACGCCATATAGAATACGAAAAATCAATTTTTATTCTCCAACGTGAAACCGCACATTTGATTGAATGGTTTCAGCAAAATGACTTAAAAATTAACAGCACAAAGACACGTCTGATGTGTTTCCGGAATCCGTTAAAAGTTGTTATCCCAGATACGCCACTATTTTTATATTCATCAATTTGTCCCTCGTGTAAATGCACTCCAGTGGGTTATGTGTACCATGTGAAATATCTAGGTATTGAATTCGACAGTGACCTTTCATGGAATGCGCACATGGGAACTGTATGTAAAAAGCTTAGACGTGTTTCCTGACTACTTTATAATATGAGATCACTTGTTCCACAATATGTTAAAAAGATGGTCATTAATGCTTTTTCATACAGTGTTCTTCGCTATGGAATAACCATTTATGGTGGCTGTTCTACGTTATGGCAAAAGAAAATTGACAATACTTTGACTGGAATGTTTAGAAGTATTACATACGGCACTGATACCGAAACAGAAAAAGAAAAAATTGATCATATTAATCTTCCATTATGTCATGCTTTGTTTACTGAGACGGTTGTTTTAAGACACTTTTGGGATGACAAATTTAAAGTTCCCCACATTGCACCTCGGGCACTCAGACATATTCCTCGTTTTGAGGTGCCGAGAATGTCAACGAGGTATGGCAGAAGACAACGAATATTTTATGTACCCGACATTTTCAACAGTCTTCCTGAAAGAGTGTTGGACCTGGATTCGAAAAAAAAGTTGAAACAAGCCCTACGAGACCTATCTTAAATCAGGTGTACCTGCACGAACCAGATTCATCTTCTCGGCGTCTTAAACTGTGCTCTAAAGATTATTTTTTTAGGCCAGTGATGTGATCTTTATTACAACCCAAGTACTGTGGCAACTTGACATGACCTGTGTTTCATTTTTTTTTCAATCTTTTGATGTCTTTGTGTGTGTTCTTCATGTAATAATAATAATAATAATATTCAATCAATCAATCAATCAATCAATGTTTATTATACAGTGCCCAGGAACAACCCTGAGGTCTTGGTGCTGGTACACTGGTGGATGAAAAAAAAAACATTATACACATCTCCGTAGAAAATAAGATACATTTTAAGCATAACACTAGCCAGTGCACGAGTAATTAGTAGAATGAAATAAAAACAAGGCAGTCACAGTAGACACGGAACACAAGACCGTAGGATAACAAGTGCACCACCAGAAAGCACGCCATGAAGATAACGAAATTCAGACATAACAGAGCCATTCAGCAATGCTCATCCTGCACGGGCAAGTTTTTAATAGAAAGGACAAACGTCCTGTAGCAAGGGTGGAAAATATCAAGTTTTTCCGAGTAATGATTCAAACGCTGTGCCATTCTCACAATTGGGTTTACCGGACTAAACGTTCTAGTACCCTAAGGCACAGTTCAGATAACAGGCTCGGAGAATGGATGAGTCCATGCAGCGTTTTTAAACAAAAATAGTAACTCCGCGTTCTCCCGACGCCGGTGCAAGCTAAGCAAACCAACACGCTCTAACGCAGACTCATATGTTAAACAGTGAACATCTTCCTTAATGTACCGATGTTTAAAGATAGAAACAAACTTTTTTTGCACACGTTCGATCTCCAAGGAGTGACTTTTAGAAGTTCCATTCCAAACAGCTGAGGCATATTCTAACTGCGACCTGGATAGCGAACAGTATAACGTGATAAAAGCCGTCGGGTTTTCGAACTCCCTGGTTAAGCGAGAGGCAACACCCAACATTCGCAATGACGAGTTAACCAGCCTACCAACGTGATCAGAGAAACGCAACCCAGAATCAACCATGACTCCGAGATCTTTCATTACACTTACTCGAGACAAAGTCTCTCCTTGAATATTATATGCGAAAGAGATATTGTGAGTTTTCCGAGAGAGGGTCATGACCTTGGTTTTGGACCGGGGGGGGGGGGGGGGGGGGGGCTGATTCGAGATTAGAATGTTCTACGCGCCTAACCTTCTACGGTGAATGCTCCAGAAAATCGGCTCCGCGTGGCAAGCCGGAGTCAGTCTCGCCCCAGCGCTCGAACCTGCTGTTACGCCGACTTCGACGCCCGCGACGCTCTGCTGTTTTCTTCTGTTCCCTTTTTGTTTTGTTTAGTTCGGGCACAAGTTCGCCCCCATTAAACGTTTCAGTTTACCCAGTTATTCTTTGTTTCCTTGCGTGTTTATTCGTGACAATATCTCGCATCACACAGCAGTTTGAAAACTCAGCCTCTATTATTCTTTTATTTTGCTCCCTAGTAAGATCACGGCTTCAATTCGCATCTGTAGCATGCAAATTGTCAGCGAAAATTGAAACTGTGCAAAAGCGTTTCGTCCGTATTATTTATGACCGCTATTTTCAACGTCGTATTTATTATGATTATTATTTTCTCGTTGATAAGATTTCTCTGATCCCAATGTCCGAAAGAAGGGCCGAGCGTGACTTGATTTTTCTACAAAGGGCAGTAAATGGGATGATAGATATATGGATATGCTTTTATCCAGAATTACCATTCATGTCCCTTCTCGGTTAACCAGGAACCATACTGCGTTTTACGCCAATACCATGCGTAGATCCTCCCCCCTGTGACGTATACAATCGTTATATAATCGTCTTAATCATTCAAATATTGATATATTCAGTGATATATCTGCTTTTCGCAAGAAATTGGAAGCGCTTCCAAGATACCTTTGACCTGCGCTTCGCTTTTATTGTGTTACTTTGTTTCTGTTCGATTTTATCATTCACTTGTGCGCCAAAGTGAAGACCTCCGGGTTGTTTTGGGGCACATAAAAATAAAAATTATTATTATTATTATTACTATTATAATTCAGCCAAAAAGATGAAAGCCCATGGTAGCATACAGTATTTTATCGTACGGGATAAACATTTTTGGACATAGCTCTCTGTGTTAACATTTCAAAACGTTGATTCAGTTTTGAAATGAATGAATAAAAGCTTTGTTTACGGCTTAGCGTCACAAGCTAAAGAAATATTAACACCTTTAGATTTGCCATTATTCAATGATGTATTGGTTCAGACTGTTGTACTGTAATATTTCTGGAACGTTTTAAAGTATCCTATGCAGTAGCTAAAACACTTTGCTGGACCGGACCAATAAAGTGCCTTCTATCGCCACCAACTCTGGAAAAAGAGTTCGCAATTTCTATGTTCCTTTTATCTTCAACGGCTCCCGGACGACGTGCGTGGTGTGGACTCTTTAAAAAAACTCAAACAAACGCTCCAAAATTTTATTGAATCACCATAACTATGCGTGAGCGTGTACCTGTGTACGTGCTTTTTGCGTAATAATTTATCACATCACAGTGTGAATATTGCAAATGTAGTGCGTGAGTGTGTGTGTGTGCGCGCGTATGTGTGTGGGTGTGGGTGTTAGTGTGTGTGTGTATTATATTATTTATCGAATCACAGTGTATATAGTACATGGTGACTTTGGTACTGTATGTCTGTTGTAGCATTACGATCATCACCTTAAGTTTCTGTCCTAGAAGCCTTAACTGGCTCTGACAAACCCGCGCCCCTGGCACGTAGCCAGGATATTGATTCGGGGGGGGGGGGGGGGGGGGCGGGGGGGGGCCTGACAAAAAGCTGTACGAGGGAAAGGCGGAGAGGAGGCCCCTGCAAAAGGCCAGATTTTAGAGGGGGGGGGGGAGGGGAACGAGGGCCCCGTCCCCACGCCCCCTCCCCCCCCTTCCCCTGGCTTTTAATGTTTAACAGAAGCAGCGATGCGCTGATATGACCGTACCAAAGAGTAAAAACCGAATACCAAAGAGCGACGTTTGGAAATGAAGAAAAGCAGGGTGTCCTCGTTCTGCTAAGAAAAACAATATGGGCTAAAGAACGAGAAACCGGCAAAATATCGTATTTATCTAAACTGCGGAATATGCAAGCTTTGATAAAAAAAAAGTTTCTAATAAATTATATTAATTTCAGCGAGAATGTCACGATCCAAGTGAGAGCACTGAAGCAAGCCGACTACCCGCTTGAAAATGTTGTACGGGCAAACTTCGAAGGTATGTAACCCCTGACAAAAAATATATATCTGGCCAGATCTGTAGATTTCAGATATAGCCCATATCAGAAATTGGCCACATATAACCTCATTCGGTATATCTGCCAGATATAGCCTCATAATGCCATATATAGTCTGATATCCCTGGCCAGGTATGAAAATCCCAGATCTTGCTAAGCATGGAAATTCCAGATCTCGCCAGGCATATCAAAAGGACACAAGCCTGAAATCAGCACTTTATATCTTTTTGTGCTCTACACTTCTCCCAAGTGCCCCGGCCCACACTCGAGGAATTATGGGAACGGTGGTGATCCTTCAGCTCCCTAGTGATCGCTATTTTTGACCAATTCCATGGTTACTCAGTTTCGAATGTAATTTGTAGTCACTCTGAACAATCGTCCCATAGAGCTCAAGTGACTGTCATATCACTTTTAATATTTCTCGTCAATGGCAGCGTTTATGATACTGTGCATGCGATCCACTTTTCAATCTGGCTGAGCCGCAGAAACATCTTACAATATTATCATTCTCGTGATTGTTATTTTAACAGGAATTACATAAAAGCCGAAAAATCACAACAACCCATACCGGGATTTAGCTCGGATTCAGTGGAGCTACTCATAGCATTTTTAGTGCTTCTAAATTAATATCAGCGTCTTAGAAGCTGTACGAGAATGATAATAATGTAAGATATATGTTTGCAGCTCATTCAGGTTGAAGGTTGGACAGAATGCACAGTACTGACATTGGTGGGAAACTTTAAACGTTATATGACAGGTACTTGGGTTCTATACGACACGTGTTCAGGGTGACTCCGAATTACACTAAAAACTGTGGAACCATAGAATTGATCGAAATTTCCTAACTCTAGGCAGATGAAGGGACACCGTCCCCTGATTCCTCGAGTACGGGCCGAGGCGCTTTGGGATTTAGCAAATTGTCTATTCGGGCGTAATGTTAACACTTCGAAAAAATTATGCTACATTGAAATCCTCGTGAAAATTAACACAAATAATCCCAAAGTTAAGCTTGCCAATGCTGAAGTTTGGGATTATTTGTGCTAATATTTAGCTCGAGAACAATGATGTTATTCAAAGTTTGCTAACAAAGCACTTATTAAACTTTTTTTAAACTCTTTATATATTGAAAATCGGCCGTCAGATAAAGCTGTACATATGCCAGGCAACGAAGTATATCCTCAAAAAAGGCTGTATATATGCCAGATAAGTCTGTATTTACGCCAGATTATGCTGTATATATTCCAGATAATGCTTCATATTTGCCAGATAAGGCTGCATATATGCCAGATAAGGCTGTATATACTCTAGATAAGGCTGTATATACGTCAGATAATATAATATTTGTAGCACTTATGAAGACCTTGCGAGAACTACGCCAGCCGATTACGCTCGGTTCTCCAAAACATCCAACCAATCCAAACCAGGACTCAGTCACGCAAGGTCTTCATAAGTCCCGACCTTCACCACTGCAGTCACGTGTTCGTGCGAAACGACACGGTGCGACGTCCACTACAGTGTCCCTATGACGGACCCTATGCAGTGCTGCAACGAACTGACAAAACATTCACGCTTTCAGTCAACGGCCGAGCAGAAGTAATTTCAATTGACCGCATTAAGCCTGCACATCTCACAAACAATGAGCTACAAGAAATTGATGCAACTTCGTTGACAAGCACATCGCACACATCGCTCGCATTACACACAACCTCGCTAGGGGGGGAACCATGTAGCGGCTCCCAGCGAAGCGCGAAAGAAGAGAAAGAAGTGCCCGCGCGATCACGGCCTCTCTCGGCGCTCGAGACAGCACAGACATCGAGGAACAACGGCACCCGCAAGATCGGCTCGTCACGTCTCAGATTTAACCTAATGTAAATAGTGTAAATAAATTAGTTGAAGCTCAGTACGCTTCATATTCATGTAATGTTTGATTTGGCCAAATATGCCCCAGATATAAGATTTCCATACGGGACTCTATTTATTCTCTAAATTATTAATATTAAGGCTGGGTCACACAGTCCCGTTTTAATATTACGTTCGGTTACATTAGAAAAACTTACGTCTGCTTACGCCACGAGTCTCCGGGCGCGACTTCCAGTTCAAGAAGATAGTCTGGCACGCGACATTCGAGACACGAATATTTCGGTGACTTATACGTAACATAAGAAAGCGGAAGAAAACAATGTTGTGTGAACCAGTCTTGAGAAGAATTTTTACAGCGGCATCTGCTATTGGGAATCTTCCCGGGGAATCAGGTAGTCGTCCTTCGCAGAAACTTCCGGTGCCTCGTGCGTGCACGCGCATCCAGATCATGCTTTGAAAAGCAACAAGTGCGTGCGTTTAAGATGCCAGGCGTCCCAGAAAAGAAAAAGCAAAGAGCGCGAGCTGGAGGCCAGGTTTTCGAAAGAGATGCCCTGACGTTCTTACTTTGGCAGTGGCTGTAGTCGGCACCCCGCTATGCCGGCGCATGCGCATGACCATCTGAGCTGACGAACATGCACGCCGTATGGCTAGACCAGCAATCTTTGTAGCGGTACGTCTGAAAAACACGGCTTTTAGCTACGGCGTGCTGAAGAGGTTTGACGTAGAGGGAGTACAGAGCAGGCATGGCGGTGGAGTCAGAAGTTGTAGGGATAAAGAAGTATCCGAATTCTCAAAATCATTGCGCAGGAACAACAAAGACGTGATGGTGATAGCGAATTCGCGAGTGTCAATCCGCTTGCTATAGCTGTGACACACGTTGCACGATATTGTAAATGCAGTCCAATTTTTTTTTTTTTTGCAAGAGATTATATTTTTTTTTAAAACAGACCGCACTAATACGCACTAACGTCGTCGTAGATAAGATACGAACTCTTCTGAAAGCGTGTGATGTTTGTCTGGGCACAATTCAATGGGATTGAAAGCGCGCTCATCTTGGCAAGAATCTCTGAGAGCTTCTAGGTGGTTTAATTGTTTTCAAGCAACTAAAATGTAGTATTTCAAGCACCTAAAAGGCAACTACGAATATTCTGGCAGCTTGGGAATGTGTCCAATCTTTAAGAATATATTGCCGTGCGCGCAACTCACGAAGTAGGCAGCGCGCCCGTGGCCTAGCGGCTAACGTGTTTGGTTCCAGCGCGAAGGGCAACGGTTCGATTCCAGGCTGCGGACGTATATTTTTATCATCTATGCAACTCTCGCATTCTAGTAAATTCGAGATCTCGGTTGGCGTTTGAGGTCCGAATGTTCTAGGGCCAAATGTTCCAGAAGCCCACGCGTGTACATAAGGGGCTTCGCCCCAGCGTTCGATCCTGCTGTTTCGCCACCATCGAAGCCTGCGAAGCTAGCATTTGTCTTTTTCTTGTTATGGGCGCACGTTCACCCCATTAGACCTCTGGCTTGCTTTAGTTTTCACTGACTCATCAATTTTCATTCCTGACAATATACTTAAATTTGCTTGGGGAAGATGTTACGTTTTCTAAAGATATGCTAGCGGATCGTCTAAAAAACAAGATTCCTTTTCATTGTAGTGTTTTTTTGAACATGTGCTGCTATCTTTGTGACTACTCTTTTTCTTAATAAGCAATATTTTCTATTTGCACTTCAGATATAAAACGCGGTTCTCCTTTCAAAAGACGAGACTATTTTAATTTGAAATGTTTCGTTTTGCCTATAAAGCTTTGCGCACCTTACCCGTATATTTATGCACTATATTTTTATAATTTGACTATTGTGGAACACAGTGGCTGATTTAATTACAGGGTCAAAATAGAATGTACACCCGCCGGTGATATGAAGGTGAACGCCGGACCGTCGACCGGTCCGCGCTGTCAGCGCCATGGCGCGGCTGCCGTGGCGGCTCGCTTTCTTATCGCCAGCTTCGCCGAGATTAAGCGCTTGGATCGAGCGCTGTTTTCAGATCTGCTGCTACTCCATGCAGAAAGCGTGGAAGTGGTTTAAATGTCGGCATCGCTTTTTGTGGGCGCCGTGCCCACGTCATTGCCGGCAAATGATTTGCACATTGCACGTGAACTAGAGCGGACTTTGTTCGGCATGGTTTATCAGTGACTCAACCGCTTTCTTCATTCATGAGCGAAAGATAACTGCAAACGCCTAATAACTGTTCCGTTATTACAATAACTGTAATATCGGAAAGTATAAGTTACTCTTTATTTGTTCCGCAGCCTTCCTGTTTAGCACATATCACAACAAAAACTACTAAATCACATTATCTACCGACAGCGTCTGACAGGCTCCTTCCGCAATCCTCTCTATTTGTGCGGGGAGTAGCAGCAGAGCTGAGAACAGCGCTCAATCCAAGCGCTTAATCTCGGCAAAACGCGCGATAAGAAAGCGAGCCGCCACGGCAGCCGCGTCATGGCGCTGATAGCACGAACCAGTTGACGGTTCGGCGTTCACCTTCATATCGCCGGCAGGTGTACAGTTCAACAATAGAGAAGATTCAAGAAAAGAAACCAATATGAGCAAATATTGATACATATTACTTTGACTGGTCGTTAATGCATATACTGCCCAACCATGGTTCTTATATTTGCTCCTTGTTGGACTGTGTAGGCTACATTGAACCAATTCAGCTACATGGTTGCAATATTTGGGCTAATCCTGAAGTTCCTCGTAAAGCTAACCGATTCCTCATTGACCTCCGCGCGAGACATGGTCTACTGGGATTTTTAGTTCAACTCTTAAAAACGGAGGCTCCCATTACAACAAGAGAAAAGCCTGACTTTAGTCTTTAGGAGATACCTTTAGTTCGTGATCCTCCGAAAATAAAGTTTAGAAAGTAATGAATAAGAAATAGCAAACGTTTTTCTCCACTATTACAAGCTTGGAAAACACATGATCTCAATATTGGTGGCAATACGGTGAATGCCCTAACAGAATAAGGATTTCTACGCGAAAAAAGTGCTCGCAATATGAGGTAGGTTATGATAACAAATGTAGTTTAGATAAAAACAATCAATCCGGGTTTGTATTGGGCCTCTAGTATTCAGACCCCAGCTTGAAGTAGACATATATACACCTAGTAGAACCTGCTATTATCAGCCTGTATTTCTGCCACTGTGTACCAATGTTTATTAACTGTCAGGTCAGTATTGATGTGCTGGCTTGGGAGATTCAATTAGCCTAACCACCTAAAGTATTTCAAAAGTGCGATAAATTCTGTGTGTATTTCAAAACCAGGAAGACTCCCAGATGCTACTCCAGTTCCTCCCGGAAGTTACACGTACGCTGAGAACGATAACTCGACCTGCTATTCCAGGGGTACACCCTTTCTGGATGCGGGTAAGTTCAAGTTTCATGCTCCACGAACGTGGGGCTCATTTTATACATGATGATTGAAACCTGAGACTGTGGTTTGGAAAACGGAAACTTGTGAAGGAGGAAGAAAAAGGGCGAGACAACGTCTCAGGTATAACTTGCACCAGCTCGCCTGCACTTTAACCGTGTTTTCATTGAGGTTATTTTAGTTGATGGTACACACAATTTGCATTGCGAAAATGCTTTTCCACGCAGGGAATGCTGCAGAACCGCTGCTGGAAGCGAAACACGATGATGATTTGCCCAAAAAGGTTATAAACGATATGTTTTCCATTCCTGGAAGTCCTCAGTATGTCGACCTGTATGTAGTATACAACCAGCCGAAATGTTACATTCTCAGAAGTCCCGCAACCCTAGGAGGTGAGGTCCTTAAACCTGCAACTAGATGCATGTCACAATGTCTTGTGTTCTGTTAGTTGCAATGGCAGGTATACCACTGCGTTTTACTTTATAACTGAAGAAGAAAGCGCCAAACCAAGGTTGCCTATGCACATGAAGCTGGAATAAAACAAGCCGTGAGGCATATTAAGATCTTTTTTTTGCGATACTTCCATTTGGCAAGTGGCGCACACGCTTACTATATATATATATATTTAAGAAACAGTGGACGTGATATGTACTCACGATACCAGCAGCATAAGACATTTCACGGCAGTTCTGCAGAGTTACTTTTCACACTCACAATAAAGATTTAACTCATTGTGATCGTTAAGATACTGGACAATGTTTGAAACACTCGTTTTTTGTTAAGGCAAGACTTGGGTACGAATAGTACCCACTGGTTACATAACTCATCTTCACAAACCGCGGCGCAGTACCTTTCTTTTTGTTTTTGTTCGTGATATATCTGTTTGAATTAAAAGCAAGCACACTGTATAGTGTTTGCAGAAAGTATAACAAGGACATTGACAAAATGCTGTATCCTAATTTAGTCAAATGAGCTCTAATTATAAAATACAGTTAAATAATGCCTACTCTTGCTCCTTTCATTCAAGCTACAAAATTACAACTCCTTCAAGGAAATATTTGTTTATTTTGGCCATGTGGTAAAACTACTGGAGTCTGGCGTTTAAAGTCATGAAAAGTACACTTTGCTTATTTAATTTTTTTGTTTTACCTTAGTAACCCTTAGTGTTAAGGCATGATTACCAAAACCAGAACAACAACAGCACAAGAAAAAAAAAACACGAGTAAGGAGTAGAACACAGTACAAGCACCGACTGAATATGGACATATTTATTTCCGGACCGCTGTGAAGACCGCTGTGGTTGTTTTTGGGCACTGAAAATAAAGGCATTATTATTATTATTATTATTTTACATGATTAACTTCTACCAGCTCTTCTTCGCTGTCACTGATTTTAGTTTTCGTTCAGAGACATTTGTTTTCGCGCGTTGGAGTATATTTCACAATCGCCTAAACTGTCTGTGTAATGTTCGCAATTAACTTATATATAATCGTTCTTATAGGATGCGACTTGTGGCTAAGCAAAACTGAGTTAAAAAGAATAGTGGACGACCTGGGAGATCAGATTGTAAAAGAAGAACATAAACTGAAGAAGGAAATGGAGGAAAAATATGGAGTTTATGAAAACTGTACTGCAACAGAAGATCAAGAAGATGACATAAACTTCGGCGTAGAAGATGGCGTTGAAAGATGGTTTCAAGATACTGTGTGGAAACGGGTTTCCCCCGACTGCATTCTTGCTTTCTTGTTAGCCTGTGAAGAGCCAGCATTTAGAGTTTACAATCCCATAACTTGTAATAGCTCACTGACAGAGCAATACGTGTCATTTTCCTAGATTTTTCATGCATGATTCTCAACTGCATGTCGGTTAGTGAATGAACAGCGGTTTGTATGCAAACATGATACAAACAAAACCGTCATTGTGTTTTGCTTTGCATCTTTGGAAATAAAACGAGTTGAAAAACTACCAATTTCCTTTAGTTCTTACGGCAAAAAGACATACAGTGTGTTTAAGTTAACTTATGCCGAGGCTTACGAAAATCTGATACGCGCAGCGCCTTTCGAACCATTGCAGTATTGTTCAGTCGAGCAAGTCAAGTTACTTATTTGAATGGGGCAAACTGGCTAGTTAACGCTGGTTACTTTGCTGACTTTTTAACTATCATTTTGCGCGGAATCCCTCCAATAAAAACGTTGCAGAATATGTTGAAGGACATCTGATAATGTCTTTTTCACCAAGGTAGCCTTTTCTGTCTATGCGGAGCGGAAGTTCGTCTGCCTCTTGCACAGGGGTCGCGATGATGTCAGAACGCCGAGCTCTTATTGGCTGATTGAAAAAAAAAAATAATGTGTACACTTCAAGGCGCTTAGCATTGAGGTCTACCCGCTATTTTTTCAATCAAAGCCAATCAGAGTTCTTCGTCGTTCTGACGTCACAGCAACTCCTGCGCAAGAAGCAGACGACTTTCTCTCCGCATTGTTTTCGAGCGCTAAAGAACACGCGGGAGATTTTAAAAAGAAATCCCCCATTGACTACGGGAGTTAATATCGGAGTTTTCTAAGCGGTCACAAACATGTGCGTTACTCACTACAGGTAGTCAAATTACTTGCAACCGTTACTATTTTCCCTTCTTTTTAATGACACGCCTTGCTTCTGCCAAGAAATCCTCGAACCAAGAATCTGATAGCAGAGTCTCGAACCAAAATTTATATCGGTTCGGGTCGGGTTCGGGTGCACGGCTTTCGGTTCAGTTCCAGCTCAGTTCCCGGGAGCAAAATTAACCGGTTCGAAGGGGTTTGAACCGGTATACAGTTACTATAGTATATAGCGGGTAACTAGGTATATAGTTTGTCGTCGTTCGTACAATCCACTTTTATTTGCAGAAATTACCTCATTTAATTTGGGCGCAGTAGTAAAAAAAAATCTAGACTGATTTTGACAACGTCGTGTTAATACAAATCACTATCCATTTCTTTATCTCACAGGTATTTTACATGAAGGCTGAATTGAAAGGCTGTCACAACGTGTGGTAGGTCGCATATAATACCTGTGATCGCCACAACTTTCCATCGCAGTATTAAACGTTAAATCGAGCTGGGCTCTTGAACTACGGAATTAATTACAGTGTATCGATTCATAAAATTGGCACCTCGTCGCCATATATATCGTGAAATATAGCTTATAAAATACGTTTGACAATATATATGATGACTACGCAATTGACCTAAAAACAATATTATTTTTAATATGTCCCGAAAGTTCTAGTACAAGCCCTTTCATTCGCCTTTTATAGAAACACTGAGCGGCAGTCGCAACGCTTGTTTTCCTAACCATCATTGTTTACACTAAGCACCATGATGCGGGCGAAGAATCATGCAGAAATGAGCGATCAAAATTGTTCAATCTTATCAATACGCACATTCATGCTTAGATCAAATCTGGCCTAAAATAGAGCGTCCTCAAGTATGACGAAAATAATCCCTGGAGAAGGGGAAAAAGGGGGACATAAAGGACAAACACAAATCTCCAAACACAGCTAGGTGACTGGTGCGCGATCGAAAAAAACCGCCTGGTCCGAGTATCGAATTCGGGACCTATCCATTGCAGGTGGAACGCTCTACCAACTGAGCTAACCAGGGGTATGACGTCAGTAGAGTAAACGGCCTTTATCAGCTGCCACCACTCTAACACCAACAAGGGTGAAGCTTGCAGTTTAAGGTCATGATTATTATGAAATTAAATGCAAAAGTGCAAGCGAGCTGGACAAGATTGCCGAAAATAATTCCTGGAGAAGGGGAACAAGAGGGACAAAGGGCAAACACGAATCTCCAAACACAGCTAGGTGACTGGTGCGCGACGGAAAAGTTCCGCCTGGTCCGGTTATCAAATGTACTGTAACAGGATACTATGCCGGTTATCGAACCCGGGACCTCTCCATTACAAGTGGAGCGCTCTACCAACTAAGCTAACCGGGGGTTAGACGTCAATAGAGCATACGGGTTTTGTCAGCTCCCACCAGTCTAACACCAACCAGGTGTTTGGAGATTTGTTTTTGTCCTTTGTCCCTCTTGTTCCCCTTCTCCAGGAATTATTTTCGGCAATCTTGTCCAGCTCGCTTGCACTTTTGCATTTAATCTCTTGGGATTATTTTTGTCCTTTTTGTCTAGCTTGCTTGCAACTTTGCATTTAATTTCATCATAATCGTACTCAAGTAAACCGTTTCTTATACAGGATAAAGTACCATAGCCTGGCTATTGAGGTATGTTTTTGACAAGATGCCGGTCAATTAAATTTTTATAATAACATCAAATAGAAGAAAGTAGTATTTTATGCGTTACTGGAGATGGCCACCACTTAATTGGGAACTTTTTGACGGTCTGCGTGTTTAATCGTCATAGCTGTGCCACACACGCCTCTGTACTTTGTTTTTGTCTTGTCCACGGACACATAAAATTGTTGTTCATTATATAAAAGAGGCAATAAGAAACTTCAACATTTTTGAAAATTTGTTCATATGTCAAAAATACATAGTTATTTAAATCAGCTTCAATATCAGATATTTGTTTAAAGGTCTCTCAAATACCTGATACACGTTTAAAAACGCCGAAAAGATTGGCAGAGCATCTTTCAGATAATTTGGGATTACAATTACTGAGCGACATCGTTAAAATAATCGGGCTTTCATTTTTGTTGTCAAGTATTAAGTCAGTAATTAGTGATATGTTTATTAGAATCAATAAATTTTGCTGTAAGGAAGCTCACATAACCGCTCCACACCGACACAGGAGGATGATACTCGAAAACAAGCCGGCCGTTGAGGCAAACTGCGGAAACGCGATTTTTTGTTCGCTGTTTGGCAGTGTGAAATACAGGGTCGCGGGGTATTTCAAGAAGGACATTCTGCTCACATGATAAATATGAAGGCAAACAGGAAATGTGCCGAAAGAAAGATATAATTAATTATGTTCTTTAAAGGAGCGCAATATACAATGCCCATAGATACCCATAGATAGCGTTAACGCGAAGGACAGCCGAAAAATGCATTTTATATTCCTATGTATAAATCACAATTGGCAACTTTCAAGAAGGAAAAACCGACCAATCATAACTTGTTTTGCGTCATTTAAAGCCAAAACCGAAATACTACAGAGCAGTTTTCGGCTGAATATTAGCTCGTTTTCACTATTGGAAGACTTCTGCGAAAATACTCGTGCTGCACGCCATAACCTCGTCGCTTTCGCTAAACGTCAATCTTTGCCTTTTAAACTTCGATTAAACAAACTTCACATTGGCCCTAAGACTTTCATGTACGATGCCCAGTCAGACAATGTAATAGAGCTCATGAGATAGGGGAATGTGGGGGGTGTTCCTACTGATACGGCTGAATCGCTGAGTGTCATAAGTGTTCTTTACGCAAACGCACGTAGCGTATTACCTAAGCGTGATGATTTGTCTTCACTGCTAAGTTCATGTGATGCTAATGTTGTCTTGCTGTCAGAAACGTGGCTTAACCCTGACACTGTTGATAACCAAATATTACCGGATGCTCCTAACTTCAACATCTACCGGTGTGACAGAGGGGATCGTCGAGGAGGAGGGGTTCATATCGTGGTGATCCAAAGTGTCCTTGAGATAATTTGGGTTCCCATAAAATGCTGCTGCGGCTCTATTTTGCTCGGTGTTTGGTACTGTCCACCCCACGCTTCACGTGACTTTTGTGATTGCCTTCGTGATTTTTTTTTTTTGGCAGCACCTAGTAAAACGACTTTTCTTTTTGGTGATTTTAACCTTCCGGGTACTGACTGGAATGTGCTGACGCCAGTTAGCTCTGGCGAAACGAATGTAAGCCGAGATTTTATTTACTTGTGCCTTTCCTTTAATCTCTTCCAAGTTGTATCTTTTCCTACACGAATCACCGAAAGCAGATTTAGTCCTTACTGCTGATCCTTATCTAGTTTAGTCATTGTCTCCTATAAATGGAATTAGTGACAACAAAGCGCTACACTGTTTTATTGATATTAAGACACAGAAGTCAGCGCTTTTTCCTAAAAATACTCGTTCACAGGGGCAATTACGACATGATTATTCGCCAGCTCTTGGATTACTTCCGAGAGCTCTCGGATTACGAAACCTTTGATAACTACAATGCCAATGAAAATTGGAATTTCTATAAGGCCAAATTACTCAAGCTTGTCGAACGTTATGTGCCATGTACAAACGTCCGATCGAATGCATCTAAACCATGGTTTACTAATTTTCTTCGCCCACTTTCAAAAAAGGAAAAAGAATACTGTTTAGGAATGCTAAACGACTAAATACAGCGGAGGCCTGGCTTAAGCCACGGCCGGACTGGAAGCGCGCGCTCTCTTTCTCTTCCTACGGCCTTTGGAATCGCCCGGGAGTCAATGACATTTTTTTCCGTATGTATAAGTTCACTTGCTTGCCACCAGGGGTGCAACCACCTCATCCCACTTCACCCCACTCAGACAGTTCCTTCGAGCTGATTTGCGCTGGTGTTCGAGCTTCGTAGGTTGTTGTTTTGGCAACGGTTCCTCAGAATACTTCTGATTAACCATGCAAAGACGGTCACGGACAGAAACGAAAAATCAGCTGGATATGTGCACAAGCCCTCGAGGAACCACTTTAGGCTGTATTATGTGTTGTGCGAAAATTGTACAGATTACTACACCCTCGACTAGGGCAGCTGAGCGACTTTGTGTGCCCCCTATGAAATGATGATGCAGACCACGGCAATAGATAGATTGGGCCTGCTTACATTTCACGAGAGTGTACGAATTATTTATCATTTAAAGTCCGTCCACGTAGAAGGGGTCCGTCTTCTCCTGTTCTCAAGTTGCAACAGAAGTCCTGGAGGTAAAGGCGAGTATAGTTTTTCGGCAATTGCATTCGC